AACACAAATTATACTTGGCTTATGATCCAAATCCAATACAAATTTTTTAAATTCTTGACCATTTGCTACAAGGCTCCTTGCGTTCCATTGCATTACATGTATCACCATTTATCTACTCAGAAACTTGTGCAACTTCAACTGATGTTGCTCTGGTTAGAATTTCATGTATTGCACTTACTGAGATCCCAGAGATCCCTAGGAATTCTGAAGCAGCTTCTAGAATTGTTTTAATCTTTGCCGATCTGCTTGGCAACATAGCAGTGACATTAATTACCTTAACAATAAAGGCTAGAAAGTTCTCTTTAGTCATTATTAATGTATTTTCTTTTATCACACACTGTTGCTCTGGTTCCTTAGTTTTCTCGATTTTGTTCCTTGAATCTTGGTTGAGATTATCCCTCCTCTCTTCCCTCCTGTCCTCCTTACTTTTGCAGATCTTCACTGCTTCCGCATATGTGACTTTATGCTCCGTCTTGTATTTTTGTACTTCTCTTGCTTTAATTTGTACCTCACATCCTCCATATGCTGCACTGTGAGCACCTCCACAATTGCAACATTTTAATCCATTTACCTCTGTGCATTTATCATAGTCATGCTCACCTCCGCATTTTGCACATCTTACCTTCCCCCGACACACTGCCGCCACATGTCCCATTCGTTGACATTTAAAACATCTCAATGGCATTGGAACATACTCTCTTACTGGATAACTTATATATCCCATTTGTACCTTTACAGGCATTTTCCCTTCAAATGTCAACAATACACTTAAACTTTCCTGTCGTTGTCCTTCCATCGTCTTATACAGTCTTCTCACATTAGAAACCTTACCTCCTCTTATATTTTCAAGCATTTCTTGATTGGTTATATAGGTTGGAATCCCATATATCACCCCCTTTTCCCCCTTTTCTACTCCAATCTCTTTGGTTGTGACCTTTTCTCCATTCATTTCTTTTGTCTTAAGTAGTTTGTTTTTTTTCCCAACATCTTTCACTATGACCAACACTCTCCCTTGTCCCAAACATTTAGCCAAAACCACTGCCCCAACGATTTTATCAATCGCCTTAGATAGTCCTATTGGATGCAAATGTGTTCCTGTAATCTTTTCAAAAGTCAACATAACTTTGAATCCAGACTCCTTAACATTTTGAACAGTTTGTTCTCTTACAATTTCTTGATTTTCTTTTGTCTTTTTTTGTATTGTCCTGCATTGGTTCCGTCATATCTTCGCTATCCTCTTGTTCCTTAGATTTTTTACGTTTAGCATTTTTTTCCTTTGACTTTTTCCCAAGTAAACCTCCGTAAAATCTTCCCTATCCTCCACTATCGATTCTTCTGAATCTTCCTCCATGACTGCACAACAGCTCTAAGTGTCCTCGTTTTGTTTCGCTGTGCAGCTCCGCGTGTAAATCAAACAGAAAAACAGACTATATGCTATTTTCTAGTGACGTGACGTTCGGCACCAAGGCTTCGAAGCTTCCTTCCTCTAGCTTGGTTCCAATCCTGCCTGGACATGGAAATGTGTTACTGGTGACGTTTACTAGAACCGCCCGTGAATGTGGTTTCAACTAGGTCCGCTAGCTGACTATAATGCCGTGTTCTCCAGCGATGTTTTCTGTATTCGGTTGTTTTGAGCTGAAGAGTATCTGTCGACATGTCTGGAAGAGGAAAAGGCGGGAAAGGACTCGGGAAAGGAGGCGCTAAGCGTCACCGAAAGGTTCTTCGCGATAATATCCAGGGAATCACTAAACCCGCTATTCGTCGTCTTGCTCGACGTGGGGGTGTCAAGCGTATTTCTGGCCTGATCTATGAAGAGACCCGCGGTGTGTTGAAGGTGTTTCTGGAGAACGTCATCCGTGATGCTGTGACTTACACTGAACACGCCAAGAGAAAGACCGTCACCGCCATGGATGTTGTGTACGCGCTGAAGCGACAGGGACGCACTCTGTACGGGTTCGGCGGTTAAGAGACCCACGAAGAAGAAAAACCCAACGGCTCTTTTAAGAGCCACCCACATTTACACACAAAGAACGAATTTCTAGTTGTTGATTTGTATAGCAACGTAAATTAATGATTTATTTTAAAAGGAAAAAAAAAATAGTGAAAAAAGAGTAGATAAATAAAGGACCAAATAAAACGCTTGATGTTTTCCTATTTTAATCATCTGGTTAATAATGTATTATGAATTAAAAATAAAATAAAAGCTGTTGATCTCAGGCAACATTGTACCACAATGGAACACAAATTAAATCAAGTTTACCATATCCATCTTCATCCTCATCTTCACTCTTCTTGCTGGATTCACTATAACCTCATCATGATACAACCTCACCCTCATCAACAGCCAGCTGTGTTTTATACCTTTTATAGGTACAGACAATGTGTAGATATAATTTGTGAAATACTGTTCATTACAGATTCAATATTTATTTAATTCTAATTATTTATAACTTTTCATTGGCGAAAATATAGACACGTGCACAATATGCTGAAACAAGACACAAAATGGCCCCTGTGGGTCATGTGACCACTATTTTGCACTTTCATTGATTGGTATTTGAGTTCTTCTATCATGAGATAGGTTAGGTCTCATTTTTTCAAACAAACAAACAAACCAACCAACAAACAAATCTATCAACTATATTAGACCATGTTTCCTGGAGGCAACACCGTACCAAGCATAGAGGGTTAAGTGATTTGTATTTTTACTGTGCTATATTCACAGTTCTGATTTGTAGTTAATTTAACATCGTTATAAAGACTCTCGAAAGTTAGTGCTCATTGTTTGTTTTATATATATATAAACTTTTTTATTTGTAGATTATCGTATATACACTTATACAAGGCAAATTCTTCTTTTAAATAAATGTTAAAATGATAGCTATATAATCCTCTACGTACGAAAGAAAATTTAAATGATTCCCAATAATCAATTTATTCATTCCTGAAAAATGCGGGAAAATGAAACAAAGAGAGATGGAAGTCACGGGGGATGGTAGTTGTCGATGGGCGTGATTAACATTTCAAAGCTTCTGATTGGATCACCTACAATTCAGGGAATGTTTTATGTGACCAAGGAAATCGTTCTATGTTTTGGTCCAGGAAGCCTACCAATCACAGAGTTTCGTTCCTCCCTTTTTAAATTAGCATAGAGCAGTGGATAAAACCCGCCTGCTGTGACACAGAGCTACAGTTCATTGAGTTTCACTGACTGAAATATCATGCCTGAACCAGCGAAGTCTGCGCCCAAGAAGGGCTCGAAGAAGGCCGTCACTAAAACCGCCGGCAAGGGCGGAAAGAAGCGCAGAAAGTCCAGGAAGGAGAGCTACGCGATCTACGTGTACAAAGTCCTGAAGCAGGTTCACCCCGACACCGGGATCTCCTCCAAGGCGATGGGGATCATGAACTCTTTCGTCAACGACATCTTCGAGCGCATCGCCGGTGAAGCGTCTCGTCTCGCTCACTACAACAAGCGCTCCACCATCACATCGAGAGAGATCCAGACCGCCGTGCGTCTGCTGCTGCCCGGAGAGCTGGCCAAACACGCCGTGTCTGAGGGCACAAAGGCCGTGACCAAATACACCAGCTCAAAGTAGAGCGAGTCTGATCAACAACACAAAGGCTCTTTTAAGAGCCACCCATATTATCTGTAAAGAGCAGTTGTTGCATATTTAATCACATGTAACGTTAGAGGAATATGCCGTAGAAAAATAAGCTGTTAGCTGATGTTCATAATGATTTCCATAATACGGGAGTCGGTGTTAGAAAACCACTATCTCACAAACTCCGTAACCTGAACTCTCCGCAGCCCAACCATACGCGCCGACCCGTTTGACTAAAGGCTGTCGAGCCCCACTGGTGCGTTAAGCAGTTTCAGTGGCAAACGGTTCCGTATGGCATAACAGAGGACTAAAAGGTAAGCATTATGTGAATGCTTGACTAAAGAGAAGCGTCTTTAATCTTGTTTTAAACTGTGTCAGCGAGTCAGAGGCTCGGACCGTATCGGGAAGGCCATTCCAGAGTTTTGGAGCTAAATGCGAGAACGCCCTCCCTCCTTTAGTGGACTTCGATATCCTAGGAATGACCAGAAGCCTTGAATTTAGTGATCTTAAGGAACGCGGTGGATTGTAGGGCGAAAGAAGGTCCGTTAAGTACATAGGAGCTAAACCGTTTAGGGCTTTGTAAAAAAATAAATAAAAATAGCATTGATGTCACATTATAAACTAGTGAGCAACTCTGGCCCTTGAGATCCACTTTCCTGCAGAGTTCAGCTCGAACCCTATAATGAAAAACACCACACAACATTATTATTATTATTTTTTATTACAGTTTATGGTTATGAAATATATAGTTTTCAAAGGTTTATAAATACAATATAATTTTTATAATGAAATCAATAGCCTACATTGGGTGAATGCCTCACTAATGAGTTCCAGATTTGTATATTAATAATGATAAAGGTAAGAAATATGAGTTAAGAGCAAGAGTGCTGTTTTTCCTGGAAAAGCGGCGATACATAAGCATACATATATTGGCGATGTGACTTTGTAAATGAAGACTATGGCACTACACACACACACACACACACACACACACACTGCACACACACATTATGTTACTGTAGTTCACTCGAGCTGAGCACACAGACCTAAAGACACAAATTACAGAATATATCATGTTTTTTTTTTGTCCGATTTCCATTCTAAGGATGTTCATATTGATAATACTGTAATATTACTTTGTCTTCTGGGTAAATTTCCTCTTCATAAAGCCAGAAACGTTCACTGTAATCCCAATCTTAGAATGATCTCCTCTGATATAAAGTCACTTTTACTTCCTTTAAGAAAATGTCAAAACCTTTGAACACAAGGGCTTCGAAAAAATCTATCATTGAGTCTGTTGAAATGAACCTTTCATTTAAAAAAGCCAAAAGAATGAACACGTCATACGCATGTGCATGACGTCACCATTTTCAAATGAGCATTTTTGTATTTACAGGGAGATGATAAGGGTCTCGTTTACAAAGACATAAAAAGTCTTTCGTCAGGCTCGTTTATTCTCTGCAAAAATACCCCAATAGCCTTTGTTTGTATCACAAATGTACATTCCACATTAAATTACAATCGCAAGAATCACTTTGTTCTGTCAAAAAGTTTATTCCTCTGTTACGGCGTACTGACTTTGGTCTTCAGCAGATGAAACTGTGAAATACACACAAAAAAATATTTTCAACATTTAAACGGACGTCTTATTTTTTAATTTTTTTTTTTATTATTTTTTTCCACTGCAGTTATTGCTTTCATGAATGACCATCATCTGTTCAAAATATAGATCTATATAATATATACAAGACAGGCAGTAAAGGCATATCTGTCAGTGAGAGAATATGTGAATAAATTGTGTGTGTGTGTGTGTGTGTGTGTGTGTGAGAGAGAGAGAGAGAATGTGTGTGAGTGTGTGTGTGTGTGTGTGTGTGTGAGAGAAGTTTTACCTCTCGCTCTGTAACATTTGAAAAGCAGCACGACTGTCGCTAACAGATACGGAGAAGCTGCCAGAAGAAAACTGAGGATTTTGTAGACAGAAATCTGACCTGGAAAACAGAAACACAAGAACATTATTGACCAACAAAGTTTTGTGTGTGAATGCTGCAACACTACTGACTCCGTGATTGGTAGATCGGTGGAGGGAGGAGCATCAGACCAAAACACAACATGACATCATCAACATCAGTTGAAGGCTAAAACTTCACTTTTTAAATGACAATATCCTGGCCGGACTACAGTTGTCAGTGATATAATATTTGAAATGAACATTATGTCTTAATGTCTACTGACATATCAGGGCCATTTTATGATTATTTGAAATAAATTTCTTACATACAGCTCCTTTAACTGGTCTCTACCTTTACCCGTTTATTTTGTTTGATTTGTACAGTTTTATGCCAGTCAGAAATCATTATCCGCATTTCCACTGTGGAGCCAGTGCGAGCGAGGGCTAGAAACGGCCAGCCGGACTGATAGTGTCCAACTGCGATCTTAAACGCCATACTCAAACTGCATAAACTGGTATTTATAATAATTTTACACAGAAGAATACACTTATTGACAGAAATAAGAGCTAGAGACTATATAATAGTATATAATAATGGTGTGGCGTTTTTTCATCTCACCATTAAAGTCTTCAGTGACTGAGATCCAGCTGTGGAGAGACTGTCCTCTCTCTGTTTTACAGGAGTAGAAACCCTCATGTGACTTTGAGACAGTAGTGATGCTCATCTCTCCTGTCGTCTGATTCTGGATCAGTGATCCGTCTTTATAGAAATCAGCGCTGGAGATCGGGGAGTTTGTAGATCGATGTAAACAGTGTAGAGTCAGAGTCTCTCCCTCAATCACAGGATCAACAGAACTCTCCAGAATCACCTCACCGTCTACAAACACGAGACACACATCAACAGCTGCTAGTGATGATACTGTACTGATGATGTAGTGATGATAATGTATTAATGTATTAATCAGACCCATACTTCAATTATTAATAAGATGTGGAGGGCCAAAATGTTCACTATCAATAATCTGAGAAACTGACACTTTTATTCAGCAGGGATTCACTATCAAATGTGACGCATTGATCAAAAAAGACATTTATAATGTTACAAAATGTTGAAATTTCAAATAAATTATGTACTTCAAAGTTTCTATTCATCAAGAAAAAAAAGAAAAAGAAAAAAAACATTTTCCACAAAAAAATATTAAACTGTTTTCAACATTGGTAATAATCAGAAATGTTTCTTAAGCATCAGATTATCAAATTATACTGATTTCTGAAGGATCATGTGACACTGAAGACTGGAGTAATGATGCTGGAAATACAGCTTTGATCACAGGAATAAATGACATTATATTCACATGTTCACAAGGGTTATAGGAGATATATATATATATATATATATATATATAATCATACACTTAATTATAATGTAGTGTATTCTATTATATTATAGAGTTAAAATCTTGAAATTATTATAATATTTTATAGTCTTGAACAGATTGTTGTTCATTGTTATATAGTTGTGAGTGGTTGGACTCACCGTGTACAGTGATGTTTCGAGGACGGCGTTTCTCTCCAGATTCAGACTCACACCAGTACACTCCAGAGTCAGATGTGCTGAGAGAGTCGATTACACATCGAGATCCTGTTTGTTTGGCACAGGTTTGTGTGTGTGTGTCTGTGTATCTTCTCACTGTCCATCCAGCAGAGTTACTCTGATCCACACAGCTCAGAGAGAGAGACTGAGATGAGAAGTGTTGACTTCTGCTGGGATCGATGACCAGAGACACTGAAGCAGAAACTCCTGAAAAGAGGAAAATCTCCATCAGAACTGACAGCACAGAGACTGCAGTGAAACACAGATGCGGATGAGCACAAGCAGAAACCCTCACCAGTGAGCCACAGTGTGTGTGAGCTGCTGTTGTGTGTGTAATAGGCTGGTCGTCCTCTCTCTGCTCTGCACGTATAAACTCCTGTGTGCTGTAGAGCAGCAGGACTGAGAGTGTAAGATCCTCCAGCTCCTCTGCTGCTGTCTGACAGATGATCATGATCTCTGAACCAGCTGAACGTCCAGCCTGTAGAGGAGCCTGAAACCTCACAGATCAGAGTCACTGATTCTCCTTCAGTCAGCCACGGCTGTGGAGACACTCGCAGTGATGCCTGAGCTTCAGCTGAACAAAACATCACGAGTTACAGAGCCGTGGAGGAACTGATGGAGAAGCTGATCACACACACACACACACACACTCACACACTCACCTGAGACAGTCAGTGTAACAGCATCACTGATGCGTGATCTCTGTGAGTCTGATGTCTCTCCTCTACAACTGTATTCACCGCTGTGAGAGAGATCGACACTGCTGATGTTCAACTCTTGTGTTGAGGTCCGGCTGACCGTGTTTCTATCCCAGTTGTTGGTTCCCTCTATTTCCCATCTGTATGTCCACTCAGTGTCTCCTGCCCACTTTATATCACATCTGAGAGTGACTGTTTCTCCTCTAAACACTCGTTCATCAGGTCGTACCGTCACCACAGCTTTAGAACTCACTGTACAAACACAGATTATTGCATTTATAGTTTCAGAAGTTGTGTAGATATTGTCTCTGATCTGTATTTGTTGCATCACACACTACAGTCTCTCTCACCTGTAACATTTACCCACAGTGCATCACTGTATTGTGTGTAATAGACTGGTTTCCCTCTTCCAGCTCTACACCAGTACTGGCCTCCATCAGACACTGAATCAATCTTCAGGCTGTAGGAGTGTGTTTTCTTCTTCTCTGTCTCGGGGTTCAGTGTGTGTTTGTACCAGTAAATGTCCCAGTCTCTGGTTAGATTCATGCGACAGGTCAAAGTCACTGTGTTTCCAGTCAGTGCAGCTCCTGCAGGATCTGATGTGAGTTCAGGCTTCGGCTGTAGATCTGCAGGAGAACAACAACAGATTCAGATCCTCCAGAGTCAGAGTTCACCTGTGTTACACAAATCATTGTTTGTCTACAACTACATAAATAAAATGGTTCAGTTTTGTTCTAATGAGAGGGTGTGTGAGATTAAATGATGACAATCTTCATTCTCAGGTGAGCTAATGTTGAAACTTTGGTGTGAGTGTCAGATAAAATACTTCTTAAATCTAATGTTTCATGAACTGTAAATCATAATCAGATACAAAACGATGAAACTTCTGAAAACCAAAGCTGCATTTGTATAAAAACTCAGAAATTCTCAGAAAGAACAAACAGCTAAAAAAAAAAAAAAAAATACGTACACAAATGTTTTATGTTTATTACAAAACTTTGTTTCTGAATAGATGTAATTGACATGTAATTAGCAGCCATTAACAGAACTATTTTTATTTGTTTCTCAGATCTGTGCTCACATGCGTCAGAAAGACGACTTTATCTGTTGTTTCTATGTTTTATAAGAAATTCACGAGTGTTGAATTTTTAAGATTACACTTCTAAAAATACTTCAGTTTTAAAATGGATTTTCGGACATCTGCATTAGTTGCATGTTTTGCTCATTTAAATAGTTTGTAAAAGAACAGTGAGAAAATAAAATCAAGCCCTTCAAAAGAAGAGTGACAACTATTTATCAGCAGTGTGAATGAAAAATCTAAAGTAAAATTCTCTTGATTGTTTGTGTGATCATGAATAATAAAGAGTTTATGAGGACAATGATGTTGAACTCACCCTTCACAGAGAGAGAAACAGCAGAGCTTGATGTTGATGAGTTTGGTCTTCCATCTCTCTGTCCTTTACACCAGTACTGACCCTGATCAGACTCAGTAGCTCCTCTGATAGTGACAGTGTCTCTGTTTACAGTGTAACGATCATATGTCTGTAACTTTACACTGTCTTTATACCACTCATATCTCCAGTCACTGTAATAAGGTTTTATCACACACTTCAGATTGACTGTTTCTCCAGTGAATACAGGACCGGCTGGTGTCACAGTCACTGTAGATGTGGGTAAATCTGAGAAGAAACACAGAAACACAAACTAAGAGACTCAAACAGTCTGACTGAGGACAGATGATCAAGTCTCAAGGCTTGTTTGCTACACTGACGGTTTCATTCATCTCAGATAATCTGAAGAGCAGAAGCTCATGGATGAACTGAACATGTCTGGAGGATAAAGATCATGAAGAAAAATAAACCTGAGCTAACTTTCTATATACAATGTCTTCAGGTTAAAGTGATGAAATGATGAACACACTCACCTGATACTGTCAGTGTAACTCCATCACTGATCTCTGAGTGCTGTTGGGTTTCAGTCTGAGTTCCTCTACATCTGTACAGACCAGCATGAGACGAATCCACAGATGTGATTATATAGATCTGGTCTGTTCTTCTGCTGTTATCTTGATCTTTATACCAGCTGTACGTCCAGACTCCTGTCTCCTGTATGTCACATGTGAGAGTGACTCTCTCTCCTCTGAACACACGGACATCAGGCTCCACCTTCACTACAGGTTTGGGTCTCTCTGTGAAATGAGCAAACACACACTTCATGTTTCTTTCACTGAAAAAAATAAATAAATCTACAAAATAAAAGAGCTCTTACCTCTCACTGTTATCTGTATTGCATTACTGAAGTCTGTATAGGAGTTTCCTCGCTCTGCTCTACACCAGTATGTTCCTCCATCAGAGACTCTCACAGAACTGATAGTTTTAGTTCCTGTATAATCAATGGATTCCCAGTTTGAGTCTTTCATCCAGTGAAACGTCCATCCAGTTGATCTTCCCACGTCACAGCTGAGAGTAACTGTGTCTCCAGTGAACACTGAACTCTGGGGCTTTACAGTCAGAGTCGGTTTATCTGTAAGTGAACAGTGATGCAGTGTTGAGCTCATTTATACAGTTATTGCTCATATTTTCACTAGTCTTCTGTTTTTATCATTATTTTAAACGGTAAACTATATAATTTATTTTGATTTAAAAGAGTGTTTGTCTTTTCTGCTTCCAGTAGTGACATCAAACAGAATTAATAAAAATATAGATATGGGGAAAAAAATTACAGAGTTTTCAAAGAATGTTAAAGTCTCTTGGCTGAAGATCATAAGTATTGAAATATGGATATTAAATGATGATTAAACAGATGTGAATATGAAGACTCACCTGATACAGTCAGTGTAACTCCATCACTGAACTCTGTGTTTGAGTCTGATCTCTCTCCTCTACATCTGTATTTACCACTGCGAGACGCATCAGCTGTGAAACTGTAATCTGCTGTTGTTGTTGGTGTTGTATATTGATAGCCAGTGTTTCCATCTCTAATCCAGATGTATCTCCACTGAATGTTTCCTCCTCCCTGTATGTCACATGTGAGAGTGACTTTCTCTCCTCTGAACACATGCTGATCTGGCTTCACCGTCAATACAGGTTTCACTGAGAAACATAGAAGTAAATATTGAAAAACATTGCAGGATCAAGATCACTTCATGAACTCAAAACTTCCTCAGGAGAAAAACACTTAAATTAACAAAAAAGATGTTTTCTTGTAAATTGCAATGATTGCATGCATGTATTGGTAAAAACTAAATGAAAGTGATGTATGTCTCCAGTCTGCATGTCTTTATTGTATTATTGCTCTGCCTGTTCTGACCAGTAGATGGTGCTGTTTACAGTCAGAGTGTTTAAAGATCTGAACTGGGAACTCACTAACTAACTTCTGTCTGTCTGTTCTCAAACACTTTTCTCTTCCAACCAAACCACTGAATGAATAAAGCTTAGCATTGGTGCTCAAGATCTTAATGACACACCGTCAATAATTACAATTTCAGCAAATCTCAGAAACATGCAAATAAAACTCTCACTGTGCAAAACTCATTTCTGTTTTAATCAAATGTCTGACTGAACTAATTACCTTCTACGGGATGAATATAATAAATTAATATAATAAATTTTATATTAAATTTTATTTATAAATTTATATTAATATAATAAAATTAGGACATCACGATTTGGGGAAAATGTCATATTGTGATTCGTTGAAGTCAATATTGTGATTGTGATATATAATAAACAAATGGTTTCATATCTTGCTTGGTTCTCAAGGATAATGCCGACACAGATTAGTGAAATGCTGAAATGTGTATTTCTCAACTCAAACTACAACAGCACAGTGTAAAAATGCAGTGTTTCCAAATTATAATAATATTTTTTTGCTAAATTAAATAATGATATTTTTGAGTTACTGCAAAGGTTTTATTGTCTCAAATATGTGTTAATGCTCATTGGTAGCCAAATAAGGTTTCATTTAGACCTTATCATGAAATAGTTTACTGTTATATGTCAGCAAGATTCAACAAGACATGTTCACCTGCTATACCCAATGTTTAGATCTGTTGTGGTATTTATGCAAATTAGCACATACAGATTACAGACTGTTTGCTCATGTTAACAAACAATAAAAAAATAAATAAATAAAAACTTGTAATACATTTCTTGTTTGTCTTGATGCAAGTAATCAACTCAGTAATTTTCATGATGATATCTAAAGGTTAACATTTTTACCCTATTCACGTGAGAGAAAGAATGAATATCCAATATTTGAGTCTTTTTCCAAACTTTCCCCTAATGGGATTCTTCAGGGATTTTTCCTCACTCAGGACATATTGAGGATACAAAATCAGTTGAGTTTGCTTCTGTTGCAATTTGTTCTAACTTTTTTCATAAAACGAAAATTAAAAGTATATTTCCCTTTCTCACAGAATCGAGCCAACAAGGTATTTTGTTTTATTTGTCTGTATTGTGTGTGAAATGACATTACATCTGTTACACGCTTTTGCTGTGTGTCGAGCTGATGTGATTTCTGTATTGTGTTGTTTTAGTTTTCATGGTGTATTTGGAGAAAAGTCTTCAGATAAACCAGTAGCAAGAGAAACACTCGTGTCTGCGTATGTTTACAGTCGACTGAACTATTGTACAATGCAAGACTGTTTGATTGACTGAATAAATAGCAGATTTCTGTAATGTTTTGCAGCATAATGAACTACGGTCAGATGATTCTGTGAAATATATGCAAACATAAAACATCAGCAAAGAGACAAATGTGGGATCCTGATGTAGACAAATAAATACAACACAATTCTCATTAATTAAAACATAATTATATGTACTGCAGTAACGGACAGTACCTTGACTGAGTCCAGAGTGAACGAGGGACATCAGCACTAAAAGCAGAAGAAACACAGATGAAGCTTTTCCATTCATTCAACACAATGTAAATCACACACTGAAACATGTCTAGAGTTTATTCTACATGAACTGAAAGTGTTTTTCTGTTCTGATGCTCATAAAGGTGAGAACTGATGGATTATTCTCCAGCATTAAAATCATCACACACAATGACGTCACAGGACTCGTGAACTGATACGAGAGTCGATTCACTGATGTGATCAAATAAAATCCATGTGTTAACACGCTCCACAGCGCCACCTAGTGCATTTAATTATAACTGTAACTAAAAAAAAATGATCATGGATTCACTGCTGACCGTAAATACATTATTTTATTTTTCGAATAATAATAAAGGTTTTGAATATTAATGCACAGTGCACACCCTAATTGCGACTTTATAGTAAAATAATGTGGACATATAGTAGCCTACAGCTGAAATGACCGAAACCAGAAATAAAACCTCAGTGACCTCATGCTTCTGGTCTAAGAGCATTTTCTCCTTTTTTTTTTCTTTTTTTTTCCAGCACTTCAAGAGCTCTGTCAGAAATAATTAATGCGTCAACAATAAATGAGCTCAGTTCGTCATATAAAGTGCACATGTAAATGTGGCTTTATACCTTTAAAGGCATTCTACGTCCCTCACAAGTAAAATGACATTCCCCTGAGGGATACGCAAGTGTTTTGTGGAGAGTTAAGTTTAGCACTTGCCTGTATGTTACCTGCAAGTTTGTTTAACAATACAAACTATTCATTGAAGTCTCAGATTTGAGTGGACATTTGAAA